ATTAAGGAATAAGGACTTCATCATACGGCAACAGGAAGCCATTGAAAAGATTTAGGCCACGGAGATGAAAGTTATTGTTTGAAAGATTATTCTGACTATAAACTGAAAAAAATGAAGGCAGAGAGACCATTGAGAATTCTGAGACAGCAATGTAGGTGATATGATAATGATGGTATAGTGGGAATGGACAGAAATGAAGAGTACCATTTTAGGAAGTAAAATAGGCAGGACTTGGTGACTGATTTTAATAATGGGCAGGGTGGGAGGGGATTCTGCCATTTGCTGAGATGGAAACAAAAAGAAGGGTTTAGGAGAAGGATACTAATCTCCTTTTTTGAACATACTGAGTTTGAGGTATTAAGGGAAAAGCAAGTACAAATGTTGGGCAAGCAAGAGAATATTTAGATCTGATACTCTGCAGTGCTCTCTGCTGGAGAAGCACACTGGAGAGTTCTCAGTAAGAAGTAGGAACTAAAGCCGTGGGAGCGGTGATGCTGTCCAAGGCAATAGAGTGATGAGAGAATAGGCTGGTGGAAGAAACCCTAAGGAACCCCAAAGTTAAGGAGAGAAATAGGAACTCTCAGTCCAGCAATAATTTTGAAGCCATCATTTGTACATTATTTTATATTCTCCTTGGCCAATTCTATCACCAGAAGTACTAACAGCTATGAAAGTTTTGATTTTTGCCCTTCTTTTACCTGGCAAAGCCATACATTGGCAATGAAAACATTTAAAATTAATCTACAAGCCAAACAAACATCCCTTGGTTGCTCGATACCTAGCGTTGGCTATGCTGAACCTTCTCCTTTACAACAAACCTTTACTCATGCAGCAATCTGCCCTCCGTCCGTTCTGTGACCGTTTCTTAGTTCCTGAGAATCTTTAATGGATTTGCAGCTCAGTGACAGCTAGGAGAGATTTTTCTCTGTTCAAAACATCTGGTCAAACATGTCTGTCAAGAGATGACCCAGGTCCACAATTTCCACATGGAAAAGATCCAAATACATCTTTGGATGGGCCCAGGGAATTTGCCTCAATATAGTTCCTTTTATATTTGTGGGAGTAGAAATGGGAATGTGGCCTCCAGAGTAGCTAATCACTGGTGTGCAGATATATGTTTAACAATTGGCTAGCCAGGAAAAAAGAGCCCTGGTTTGTTGTGTTTGCCAATTTTTCAAGTATAAACTCCACCACCACCACCACCGGCAATCAATGTCACTGAAAACAGAGTAGGGGGAAATGGACACAGTTAACTTTTGCAAGCCAGTGTGAGCTAGCTCAGCACATTACTGGACCCAGAATGATCTGACTGGTGGCCAGGAATGGAAAATTACCTTGTATATACTAGGTATACCAGTTAATAATGTGGATTTTTTTTTAATAGATGGAGTTACACATATGTATGTATGTATGTATGTATGTATGTATATATATATATATATATATATATATGTGTGTGTGTGTGATTTGATATATGTGCTATTTTGTTGTATTGATAGCTTCAAAACTTCAAATTTTCTGAAGGTGTTAACATAGATATTTTTACACTTAAAAAATGTTGAATTTCGTGCCAAAAGGAAGTTTTAATTCATTATTTTGAGGAAAAAGTTATCATATACTTCGGGAAGCTTATGGTGAATGTGTTTCATTTCAAGATACTTGGGAAAGCTGGTTTAAATGCTTTGGAAGTGATGATTTCAATGTGAAAGACAAAAAACGTCCAGCTCAACTGAAAAAGTTTGAAGACCAACAATTACAAGCATTATTGGATGAAGATGCAATGGACTCAAAAACTCAAACTCAAAAACAACTTGCAGAAAGATTAAACATTGTCAGCAAACAATTTCCAATAGTTTTCAAGCAATTGGAAGATTTTAAAGGAAGGAAAATGGGTGCCACATCAATTGAATAAAAGACAAATGAAAAACTGAAGTCATCAGTAAAACACTGGTTCAACGGCACGAAAGAAAGTCTTCTTTGCATCGAATTGTGACTGGTGATGAAAAATGGATTTATTTTGAGAATCCCAAATGCACAAAATCATGGGTTGATCCAAGTCAACCATCAACATCGACTGCAAGGCCAAATTGCTTTGGAAAGAAGATAATGCTCTGCGTTTGGTGGGATCAGGAAGGTGTGGGTGTATTATGAGCTTCTCAATCAGGTGAAACAATTAATACTGATCATTACCAACAACAAATAATCAATTTGAACCACACTTCTGAAATGACCAGAATGTGCCAGAAGACATGGCAAAGTAATTTTGCTTCATGATGATGCACCATTACACACTTCAAAACCCGTTGAAGACACGTTAAAAGATCTTGCCTGGGAAGTATTAACCCACCCGCCATATTCACCAGACCTTGCTCCTTCAGATTACCACTTGTGGACCGATGGCACACCCGTTTTCTGAGCAGCACTTGAAAATATACGAAGAAGTGGAAAATTTGGTCTCTGAATGGTTTGTCTCAAAACAAGAAAAGTTCTATTGGGATGGTATCCACAAATTACCTGACAGATGGGGGAAATGTGTAGCTAGCAATGGACAATACTTTGAATGAAGCACTTCTGATGTTTCTCTTGAAATTATCGTGTTTTCTTTGATTACAAAAATCTGTATTAACTGATACACCTAGTAACAGTTTAAAACATGAAAGGAATAATTCTAATACTGAACTTTTATTCTAATGAAAATTGATTCATTCACTTATATTCAGTTTATTTGTAGATCTTTTGCCTTTGAATTGAAAGCTGGTGGTATGAGTAATGAATCAATAACTTAGCATTTGTCAACTTATATATATATTTTATAAGTTTCTAAAATTGATTTGTATATGAAATAGAAACTGTTGAGAATCATTGTCAATCTACTTCTTTATACCATGAATCAAAGAAATGACTGGTTTCTTTTCATTTTGGAGTATCAGAATACTTTGCATTCTAATATATTTCATAAAAGAAAATATTTTATTTCCATCAAATAAGCAAAGTTTGCCTTTTCCCTATCAAAGCAAACACTTTAATGGTATACTGATGTAACGAATAATATATGCAGAAAAAATAGCAGCAAAATATCTAGTTTCTTTATATAATTTAATATATACACTATTAACACATTGTGCAGAAACAGTATTATTAGTATATTAAATAATTACTATTAAAACTTAACTTTTAAAATAGTTTCAACATGAGGCACTGGTGGAACCAGAGTTGTTATTATGTATACTATGTCTTTTTCACATTCCAAAGGGAAATTAAAATTCCTGGTAGCATAGAGAAGAACGCACTTTTTAATATTTAATGCAGGTATAAAAAATTTCATGGCTTCTATTAATAACTTCACAATTCCACTGTGCACAAATGAAGACAGCTTTTCAAATAATTTACACTTTGCTGAGTTTATAAAAGTGATCATAAAAATATTGCAAGCCCAATAAAAACACAATGGTATAGTATAAAGTCTTTTTTCAAAGTCAAACTTTAAAAGGCCTATATTTATACAAATGTACAATATGTTTTAGTACCTTATGACTGGTATTTTTGTTCAGGATTATCTGATTTTAAAAATCTAACTTGAATATTTTTCATTAATTTTCTGCTTCAGAATAGAAAACACCGAAAACTTATAGAATAAATTAAAAAAACAGGATTGGGCAAAAACTTCACCAAGTGGACTAGTAAACACTTTACATGCTTTAGTTATTGCCCTGCCAAAGATAAAAATGCCCAAATGTTCCATTTTTCTCTTATTTAACTTGAATTTTTAGATAATCATCTTAACTACCTTTTCTTTGTATATATAGAAACTCTTTGAGACAAAAGTGTACAAATTTTAGGTTCTCTGACAAAAATCCAAAATGTTACTAAGCCATTTTTCATTTTCAAAGTGTATTTAAATAAATGCTTATTTCAATACAAAAATCTCAAAATGCTGAATGAAGACCCATTAATAATTCTACTTTAACCTTAGAGGAATATTATTACAATTGGCTGTTAAATTCCATTGAAGCATTTGTTTTTTATTCTGTAATATTGTAATTTCCAATACATATATCAAAGAAATGAACTTACCTCCCTCTCAAAACAATAGTTAAGTATTTCAGCTTTAATACAAATCAAATTTTTTTGGGAAAAAAGTAATTCATTCCAAGATAAATTGATTTTTAAAGTCTTAGAGTAATTTTTATAAAAGAACTATAAAATACAAACTTTGAAAAACAACACTGCAAATGTCTCTCGTAGGAAAAAAATATACAACATGTTAGAAAATATAGCATTACTATGGGGTACAACTAACTATGGATCTGGCTTATGAGACTTTAAAAACTCACAAAAGGTAATTAGCACCAAAATTATCTAAAACTCCAAATGATATACTGAAGTGATTCTAGGCCCACATGTTTCCTTATAAAAAAGTTATATTTAACTTGGGAAGTTTCCCAAGCAATAATAAATATATTATTGTCAATCTGTGGAAGATGTGCTAACTTTACTGATTTTCCTCAAAAACGTTAAGGTAGTGTATAGTAATTATCATATACAATGGTTTGGGCTGAGCAGGGATAATAAAAGTCCAAATTATTTCCCAAATAATATGGGGTTATTTGGTGGGAGTGGGTGGGGAGAAATTGCCCAGGTACAACTTATTTTTAGCGTATTGTTTCATCATTTTTCTCCTAAAACATTTTACTGGAGTTCTTTATAAGATTTATATTGCCCAATTTGAACTGCATATCCTGTTATTTTTCCCTTCTTACTTGGTGGTATTATTTAAGATTTGGCATGGGAATAGAGATATTTAAAAATGGGCACAGATTATAGTATTAACACAAGAATTTTGAATAAGCTACAAGATGTATATTGAACCCTGTTATAATCAAAAGTTGAATTTTATTTTAAACAATATCCACTTATAATTATAAAACAGCACACAATTTGAAAGAAGGCAAGCTTTTTGGCTTTCATGTAGTGAAATATATAACTTCACTAATTATATATATATGGCTACCAAATGTCAATCAACAGCTCATTTGGCCATATTTTAATGTTGTACATAAATAATGACAAGGCAAAGAACAGCAACTAGTCCAAAGGCTTGCAGGCCAAGGAACCACAGCATAGCCCAGAAGAAAATGATGATCACTGGTTCCACAATCCGTTCTCCAAGGTACATCCTCGTAAAGCCCATGTTGATGAGGTTTTTGTTCAGCTCACCAAAAAGTGTTCCCATCTTTTTGTAGTCATCTCCAACAGGATCGCCAGCGTGGTTCTGTGATTCTTCACAATCCTTTAAAGACAAGCAGACAAAACAAAACATAAACATGAAAATGAGAAATAGGTGAAGGTTTTTAAGAATAAAGGCTACCTCATAATTCTTCCAAAGTACTGGAAGTAAGAATTATACTTCTGATGATGATTCAATAAATACTTGGAATGTTCCTTTTGATTGACATATAGAACTGTGTCTGTGTTCACCTTTCGAGAATGTAGAAAGCACTGATTTATTTTCTGTGAAAATCAGTATTGACTGGACTTTCAACTACCAGAACACTGATTCACAAGATGAAGGAAGGACCTGATTAATTTCCATTCATTCTCTAGTTTCCTGGAATTGCACAAAGACAGCTAGCTGCTTACATGAAGAGCCACGTTTGTACTGTTCTTATCAGTGGCCATGATTTCAGAACAACCCTTTCCCAGCAATCTTCTTTTTTGAGACAGGGCCCTGGATTTGCAAGTACCGTATTTTCCGGCGTATAAGACAACCCCCTAATTTTACAGTTAAAACATAGGTTTAGGCCTATATTCGCTGTATAAGACTACCCCCACTTCCGAGGCAATACCAGTTCTTTTTTTAATAAACTGCCTCTCTGACTCTGGCCAATCTGAGCAGGCTTTTTTTCGTTTCAAAAGTCGTTTTATACGCCGGAAAAAGCTTTTTTTTAGTGTGTTTCTTTGACACTGATACTTTAAGGAACCTAGCCTCAGATAATTGGAGCATGTCTTGCTGCTACTATAGAGCAATCCTTAGTCATTACTGCTATGATCTTTCAGCCTTTGCCTCAGCTAAGGAAACTTCGGCATAGGACCTTGCATAGTTCCCTGTCTTAATTCTACAAATGTCTTAAACGCCTCTTATTAATCTCATAGAGAGAAATACATAGTTTACAAACTGAAATAATTATGTACAGTAAGCCCAAAAGTTCACTTAGAAGTCAAGTCTGTTCCCAGAAAATGTCCATTTGTACCCAATTATACATGACAAGAGAAAAATTCTGAGATACCCAGAAATTAACAAGCTGCCTTCTTATCGACACTTGCAGATTTACCTTTCACATGAATAATGATTCTTGAATTGTGTAAATCACCCAGAGCTAGTAAAAATTCAACGTTGTAGTAGGTCTGTGATTGCCAGGGGACTGAGTGGGATAGCTTCTATGTTTGCCCTTCAATCCATGTCATTAAAAGTTTCTCTCTGCTTGACTTTTTGTTAGTCTCTTGTCTTCAAAGAAGCTGATACTTTAACAGCTTAAACCACTTAATTCTTGTTCTTTAAGATCACAGTTGTGGTGAAAGGAACATGCCTGACTTGTGAGCAATAATCATTATGGATTTTCTACCATCCTAGTCTATAGTCACTTTTAATTTAGTTTCCAGGTCAATCACTGGACATGGCTTCTTACTGGCAACATTAGCAGTGGACTTTGTAGGATTAGGCCCCATGATGAACAAAACAGCATGAGATTATATCAAGCACAAGAGAAAATGATGCATGCAAGAGATATAGCAAACACAAGATCTATAAGCTGCTGCTGGTGTAACACAGGCATACTATTTTTTTTTTAATAAGTATAAAGAATACACTCTAAATGATTAAAAAAAAAGTATAGTATAATCCTATATAATAAAGAGGCAATATGCAAATTGACCATCACTCCAACACACAAGATGGCTGCCCCTGTGTGGACACAAGATGGCCAGCATGTGAGGGCAGTTGGGGGTGATCAGGCCTGCAGGGGAGGGCAATTGTAGGTGGTCAAGCCTACAGGGGAGGGCATTTGGAGGAAACCAGGCCTGTAGGAGAGGGCAGTTAAAAGCAATCAGGCTGGCAGGGGAGCAGTTAGGTGTCAATCAGGCTGGTAGGGGAGTGGTTAGGAGGTGTTCAGGCTGGCAGAAGCAGTTAGGGGCAATCAGATAGGTGAGCAGTTGGGAGCCAACAGTCCTGGATTGTGAGAGGAATGTCCAACTGCCTGTTTGGGTTCGGGCCTAAATGGGCAGTCAGACATCCCTTGAGGGGTCCCAGATTGGAGAGGGTGCAGGCTGGGCTGAGGGACGCCCCTCCCCCCCGCACGAATTTTGTACACTGGGCCTCTAGTAAATATATAAACCTGTAACAGAAGTCTTTTATCATTATCAAGTATTATATACTATACCTAGTTGTATGTGCTTTACTGTTATACAACAGGCAGCGCAGTGAGTATATTTACACCAGCACTGCACCACTACATTGTTATGTCCATGATGCAAGTAAATAGGAATTTTCAGCTTCATTATAATCCTACCAGAGGCCCAGGACATGAAATTCATGCAGGGGGGCAGGGTGTCCCTTAGCCCGGCCTGCACACTCTCCTATCAGGAACTCCTCGGACATCTCTCTCATAATCCGGGATCGCTGGCTCTTAACCACTCTTCTGCCTGCCTGCCTGATCGGCCCCTAACTGCCCCCCCTGCCGGCTTGGTTGCCCCCAACTGCACCCTTGCCGTCTAGTTGTTCTCCAAATGCTTTCCCCTGCTGGCCTGATTTTGCCCCCAACTGCCCTCTCCTGCTGACCTGATCTCACCCCCAACTGCCCTCCCACTGCAGGCCTGGTCACCTCTAACTGCCCTCCCCTGCTACCCTATTCGCCTCCAACTGCCCTCCCTGCTGGCCTGTTTGCCTCCAACTGCCCTCCCCTGCCAGCCTTATTGTCCACACTGCCCTCCCCTGCCGGCCACCTTATGATGACGTGGGACGTCCATCTTGTGATGACGTGGGTGGCATCTTGTGATGACATGGCGCAGCGCCACCTAGGCTTTTATTATACAGGATGGGACCACTACTGTATATGTGGTATCTCGTTGGCTGAGACTTTGATATGTGGTACATGACTATAGAATGTGCTCCAGTGATCATAGAAAGGTTGCTTTTATAAATACTATTTTTTGACTATGATTATGGAGAGACAAACATTAAGGAGGAAGGACAATGACAGAAAAAATTTTAATCAGTTTCAGAGGGCTTTTAGACTGAAAAGTCTTCTCCCAAAAAATACTGGAACTTAATCCACTCTACCATCTCACTCAACCTCTCAAAAGAAAGACATTTCTTGAAAAAGATCTTGTTACTTTCATTTAAAAGGGCAGGAGTCTCACATTTGCAAAACACCAACAAGAGAGTTTCATTCTGTAATAGACAAATACATGGAATATATATTAAGAAAGAGATAAAATATTTTAAAAATTTCTTATTTCTTATATATTTAGCCCTTTGGGCTTTCAATTTCTCCTTGCAGTTCAGAGCTCACAGTCTACCATTTTCACTATAACTTTATAGTCACATGATCTCCCCTACTCCCTGACTTACAGTAGCCTCCAATTTCCCTCTTTCTTCTGCTGGGCTAAAAACTGTGCTCAGATGCATTATCCTGGTGTTCTTAGTACTTCTTCCATGATATCAATCCTTTCAGTCCCCTTTTGATAACTGTTCATCCAATTCCTCATATTTATTACTCCAAATCTTTGTCACTTTTTTCTTTTCTACCTCCTAGAGGTATTGCTTTTTCCTTTTAAGGTTAACAACGAATCATAATTCCAAATGCTTCCACCCATACATCTAAGTACAAAAATGTATTTTATACTGTAACACACCTTTTCATTCCTAAAGCAAAAGAAGCAAAATAGAAATCCTGATTAGAACTGGAACACTTGTCTATCAGGCACACTTCCTCTTAAGACAAAGAAAGGCAAAATTATTATAGAATCAGAGATAATAGTCAGAATCTGAAGCACTAAATAAATGAATGATTCTTAAATCACTGGGTCTATCATTGATGCTGCTGTTATGGTTTTTTTCACCATAATCTATTGAAAGAGTCACCCCAACATTTATGACTTTGTGAATATTTTTCTTTTAAGTCAGATTTTAGAATAGAAGTTTTAAGTATGTATCTGGGCCAGTGATTTCCAACTGATGTGCAGCAAGAATTTTTAAAACATACAATAACACAATGGTTGAAAACTGCTGATCTAGGCTAACACTACATAGCTTTATGAAAATTTGAAAATAGCATAAGTTTGCTTATCCTATCTAATAAAAAGGGAATATGCTAATTGACCCTCACAAAGATGGTGGTGCCCACAGCCAATAAGGATGGAATATGCTAATTGCTGCTACACCCTCAAAGATGGCAGTGCCCACAACCACAAGATGGCAGTGTCCCGTCCCCTCAGCCCCACCTGCCTCCGGAGTCCCCCAGTCCCCTCAGCCCCACATCTGCCCAGGGCCAGCGCCAGGGATAACCAAACGATTGAACAAGCAGGCTGCGTGGGGCGACCAGGTCGGCGGGGAGGGTGGGGGGAGCAGTTGGAGATGATCAGGCTGGCAGGGGAGGCATTTGGGGGTGACCAGGTCATTGGGGGGGGGCAGTTGGAGGCAACCAGGTCAGTAGGGGTGGCAGTTGGGGGGTGGTTAGGCTGGCGGGGGGGGGGGGGAACTAGGCTGGCAGAGGGGGATAGTTGGGAATGACCAGGCCGGAGGGGGAATGACCAGATCAGTTAGGAGCAACCAGGCTGGCAGGGAGGGGGCAGTTGGGGACAATCTGGCCGGCAGCGGGGGAAAGTTAGGGGTGACCAGGCCAGAAGAGGGGGGGCAGTTTGGGACGATCAGGCCAGCACACAGAGGCAATGAGGGACAATCAGGTCGGCAGGGAGGGGACAGTTAGGGACGACTAGACAGGCAGGCAAGCAATTAGGAGCCAGTAGTTCAGGATTGTGAGGGTACAGGCTGGGCTGAGGGGACTCCTCCCCCATGCATGAATTTCATGCACCAGGCCTCTAGTGCTATTATATATCTTTCCCCTATCATATTTGAAGAGTTAAAGATTAACATGACTGGTATGTTTAATAGAGCTCTGTAAATATATGAGCCATCCTTGTTAGAATTATGCTGCCTTTAAGGTCTATAGTGGGAATTTTGTCTCAGAGCCAAGTTAACAATACTTAAGAATCTGACAACACGTCAAATAGCTA